CAAGTGCACAAGCATATGCATGACGAATTTGATTGGCCCATTTCCTTGTGCATTTGCTTATAGACCAATCAAATTCGTCATGCATATGCTTGTGCACTTGTGCAAAAGTGCGCGCTCCCCGCTTGAACCTTTTGAAGCATTTTTGGCCATTTCATTTCTGATTAACGCATTTAGGTCGGGTTTTGTGCATTTTTTGGGGTACCTCAGCAATAAAAGAACGTAAAAAGAAGTTGAACGGTCTTTAATATGTATTGTAAAAGTTTTATATATAAACAAATGTGAAGAAACAGCAATTTTGTGCACAAGCATATGCATGGCGAATTTGATTGGTCCATTTCCTTGTGCATTTGCTTATAGACCAATCAAATGCGTTATGCATATGCTTGTGCACTTATGCAAAAGTGTGTGCTCCCAGAATGCTTGGTCTATGTATACAGGGTGAATCAGAGTGGTTGCACCAACCTTTTACCATTAGGAGAAGAATCACTGACCGCAACTGTAGCAAATCCTGGACAAAATCTCGTTATATATGTCTCACTCGTGTAATATCTAATTATGTTTCTCGAGATGCAATGAGACATGTATAACGAGATGTTTTCCATTTTTTCCAGAATTGGCTACAGCTGCGGCCGGAAATCCATCTCCTACGGTAAACGATTGATATGCAACCACTGTGGTTCACTCTGTACACAGGCTTCTTTTCTGTTGCTACACTGGTGAACTAGTGCGATTTTGAGTAAGACAAGTGTATTTTTTCTCATTCTAGCTTACTGTACTAGTTCACCAGTGCAGCGAGTCTCATGTTGATCAAGTCGCCCTGTATCAAATTATGAAGACTGCCGCGCTACTTCAAAACTCTGAACCCGCGGTTTTTGGCCGCGCGCCAGTTGACGCCTCGAAGCGCGCCCTTCCTCGCGTTCCTTTTAAACAGAGAAAGAAGCGTTCGGCGGCATCGAGCGCGGGCCGCGACACCGCTCGTCACGTTGGAACGCGAGAAATCCGCGCATCAGGAGATCATCGGGCACGCGGCGCGTGCCTCTAGTAATTCCATTAGCCGCGCCCCGTCCTCCCGCGACATGAGAACGTCGCCTTTTGCCACCGCGCGCGCACACACGTCGATTCGCGACGTGCACGCGCACACCCGATGCCATTTTTAATGCGAGCATGTGAACGGATCTCACGCCTCGAATGTCCGATATACATCCGCAGCGGCATCTCGCGCGCGCTCTCGCGAAACAGGACGGAGCGCGAGAGACAGCGACGGCGAAGCGGGACGGAGCGGGGGGGGAGGGCGAGGGTGAGAGCGAGAGAGGGGATGAAAGGGAGAGAGAGAGCGAGAGCGAATTCGCGAGTTATCGCGGATCGCGGCGAGTGAGTGCGGGCGAGCGGCGGTGAATACCCGTGAGCGTGTACACTCCACATCGTACGACGTGCCATTCGTTTCGCGGAAATACCCGGAGAAGTTAGGGGGACACCCGAGGCGCGCGCGGCCGTTCACGCGCCTACTCGCTCGCTCGCTCGCTTGCCCGCGCGCGCGAGAGGGAAGGAAAGAGAGGGTGTGTGAGAGAGAGGGAGGGAGGGAGAGAGAGAGAACGCGAGAGGGGTTCGTCGTCGTCTTCGCCGTATACTCGCGCCACGCACGGATAGCGCGCGGCTCCGCGATCGCCCTCGTCTTCGTCGCCTTGGCCGCCAGCTCCGTTACGGAGCGTCGTCCCGTCGTCTGTCCCACGGTGGTGTGTCCCGACATCCTCCGCGCGCCCGCCACGGCGAACGTAGTGAGGTCCGACGGCGTGTTACGGGCTGTCGTACCACCACGGCCGTCGCTGCCGCCACTGTACATCATCCCGTGCGCCCGCGGTGTACCCGTCGTTTATCATTGGATTGTGACGGATACCATTGTGCGGCTGTGAAACCGTTCTCGTACGCGAGGGATCCGATTGTCAACCCGATCCATCGTTCGCGGTGCCCTCGTAGAGCAGAAACGCGAGAGCGAGAGCGAGAGAGAGAGAGAGAGAGAGAGAGAGGGAGAGAAAGAGAGAGAGAGAGAGGGAGAGGGAGGGAGGGAGAGAGAGAGAGAGATATAGAAGGAGCGCTCGAGCCGGAGAGGGAAAAGGAGAAGGAGAAACGGACAGATAGAGGGAGAGCGAGAAGAAGAGACAGAGAGAGATAGAGAGAGGCCGCCCGCTGGTTGTCCGCTCCGTTGCTCCACACTTTCCTCCCACCCAAGTGGTATCAATGTTGTCTGGCAATGGTGTGTAAGGAGAACGTGGTATCATGGTTTCGGAGTCTGTCCAGGTAATGTGGTAGACGCGTCGCGTCGCACCGCCGCGCGAGGACACGGCACGACGTGCGCATCTGCGGGATATTTCAGGAGCGATTTTGCGTAACCGTCGGCCGCGGCGCGTCATCTCGCGCGGTGGCCCCCGCGGGCCGACCGCGGTCACCCCCTTTCGGGGGGTCCGTCGGCCCCCCGGCTCCCTCGCGAGGAGACGTCGCGCTGAACGTTCTTCCCCGCCCCCCCCCCTTTCCGTTACCGACGGGGGCGGCCGCGCTCTCGGCGAGCCGCGACGGACCTTCCGCTCCCTCGGGCCGCGGCGACGTCCGCCGACGTCGCTGGCAATTTAAATGCGTTTTGTTCGCGTACGTTACGCTACCTCCTGCCGCTTACGCTCGCGCTCCCGCCGTGTGCCTCGTGCGCCCCGCGAGTCCCGAACGTCCGCTCGGAGGACACGCTCGCGCCCTTGTCGTCTCGTAGCTCTGTGTTCCTCGTACGAAGCGACTCCCGCGGCTACAAGTTACCTCTTGGTATTTTTCCTCCGTTATTCTAAAATGCCCCCCCCCCCACCCCCCCGGGTTGCGCTTAGTCCTGCGGTCCTCGTCGAACGTCTCCCGGCACAATTTGTAGTAAGAAGCGAAATAATTATGCGCAACGTGCCACGGTCTCTAATGGCACTCGCGACACGCTGCCTCGATGCGTACGCTGAAAATTATTAAGTGTCAGAGGACAAAGAGTGACGAAGGAGCCGAAGGTGTAGAAACGCACCTCTGCTGGACCATTATCGTATTTATTTGCTCAATTTTTTCTATACCGCGAGTAACTTTTGATAAGATTGCCAAGTTGTCGACCTTTCGACTTGAACGTCCTCTTGCGCGGAAAATACAATTTCATTGTATCCAGTTGTCCCTTCGTGTCAACATTATCGGCACGTATCGTTGGAAATTTAAAAATTACTATATTATCCTGCTGAGATTCCATCTAACGAGGCCGCGCTATGTCGGAAAAGAAACCCAAGACAGATGGAGAAACGGTGTACGGGTTTACACAATAAGATGTCAATTATTGGACCGCCTACATCTTGCTCGGACGCTAGTTGTTTGATTTTATCTAGGGGTCTTATTTCAGTCTAATTTATATTACCTGTTTGTATTATGCTTGTACGAGAATAATTAATGCGCTCAGTTTTGAATGTGTGTACAAAGTACGATTAGGAATAAATTTGCAAGCGAAACGGTCGTACCGCATTAGCAATGTACATCAGAGTCGAAATGGCAATGTAGGAAATCGTTAATGCCGAAGATAGAGAGTTGCGGTCAGTTGAGGTGTTGCATGCCGTTGGAATTTTTATCTCTTAATTCCTGAAAACTGAAATCATCAAATTGATGCTTCGTTCCTAGAGCTAAAGTTAACAATGGATCGCTTACTAGTGAGTTTACAGTATGAAAAGTGATCATGCGGCGTAAAATTCAACTTGTACCCTTTGCGATTTACGGTGGCGACTACGGTTCACTCGAGGGAGAATGAGAGAACTGTAGAAGCGAAACAGAAAGCCTGTACAAATAGCGAAGGCTTAAATAAGTACAATTAGGCTTGAGAATGTTAAAACTGCAATTTTTGCAACTGCAAAACTTGCAAAACTGCAACACGGCGTTTAATATTAATCCACCTTTTCTCTGTCCAGTTATAAACGTATCGATGTAATGTGCACATTGCTGAACATGTGCTTGCCGTTTGAGGTACGATACCTCGGCACGTGCGTCGAGGATATCGGCAAGCGGGACTACAATGACCTACGTGACACGGAACACCATGCAAACAGCCCCTCGGATCTGGCCGAGTTGGCGACCTCCAGCGTGACAGATAAGCGCACGCGAAGAAAACTGGCTCTCTACCTGGCGCTGTTGCACTCGTGCAATTACGCCTGCGCGGTGATCCTGTACAAGAATCTGTCGAATCTCGAACATCAGGAGATCACCAGTCTGCTAAACGGGACCATCGTTAAACCGGACAACCAACCCTTGGAAGAGTTGCTACTGCTGTATACGATGGCACTGAATCATCCGGCCTTCACATACGAGCAGAAGAGCGTGTTCGGCAACATATTCATCAAGCTCCAGGAGGAGGAGGCTCGTCTTAATCCTTCAAAGATAAACTCTTCCTACAAACCGACACACGTAATGCACGATATTCCAATTTCTCTTTTCTGAATCGGAAACGAAAGAGCCAACACTTTTACGAAAATTAATATGCAGCCTAATGTTTAGCTTTGTTCTCCTATTGAACTTTGACCGAGGGGGAAACCGCTGAGGGCATTGTGGTGTACAGATTTGCGGCATTACTGGGCATTACTAGGCATTTTTTGGGTATTAAGCCTTGCTGGGACATTAGAAAGATAAGATAATAAAGCCCGCTGCAGACGATGCTATTTTTCCCGCTGGATCGCTTGCGATTCGGTAAATTACTAGAAATCCTGAGTGCTGAGTGATGCAACGATAGTAATTTATTAGATTGCAAGCAATCCAGCAGGAAAAATAGCATCGTCTGCAGCGGGCTTAAGATAAAGCAATGCCCACTGGGCGTTAGTGGGCATTGGTGTACAAGATTTTGATCAGCGAGCTCCCCCTCGACTTTGACGCTCGAAGTTCCTAGGAAATAATTATTGAAATTTTAAAGACTCGTCATATGTTACGCTCACTTCGAGCCTCTTGGCCAGGCACGAAAGTATCGGTGTGCAAAAGAATATGTTACTTAAGATTATAATGAATTTAATTTAATTTCAGTAACACGCTTTTGCAGCTGTAACCTATATATTAATCTGTACAGCGATGTGATTAAGTTTGTTTTAAAAGCTTGAAATGGTTTGATTACGTAATGTACATGAAGTTTGAATTTGCGCAGGGTTGCACACCGTGCATGAGTACAAACGAGAGATTAATGGAGCCCGAGATACCGAGTAGCTGCTTAATGCCGCCGCCACCAATGCAGTCTTACGGTACGCTGCGTTGCACATCTTCTAAATATTTATCGACACGGAAGGGAAACGTTTTGATAGACGGCAATTATTATGGCCTAACGTGACGAGGTGTATTGTTTAGCGAAGCCACTTGCCAACATTCTGCTTTTTCGGAAAAACGATAGTATAATTGATTACCGCGTTTACTTTCGCGTCTCGTTGTCTAACTTACTCAAATCGGCTCATTCAGGTGCGCTTAATAGGATTAGAGTGGTACAACTGTGCCAACAACAACATGATAGTTTGTTTACTGTATAAATATTGCAAAACTATTCATATTCTACCGAAAAACTATTTTTATCCATTTCATCTCGTTTATTTTGAATAGATCGTATAGAACGTTTTCTGTTGGAAACTGTAGTTGTAGGCGTTTACTACAATTGAACAATTGAATCTCTATATTATTCCATGCATTCGAATTTTTACATCTTACATGCTCAACCGATGTATAATATTTATGTACATTTTCTGACTCTAAAGTTCTCTCGTTACGTTGATCCGTTATGTTTAGGAGACATGGGAATGAGGAATAACGCCATGGTCACTGGAGTGCCACCTGGTCTCACGATACCTCCACCCGGACTATGTTTGCCTGGTCCAGAGCAAATGCCTATGGGATCCGGCGGTACTACGCAATACCTTCACCTCGGTTTCCCATCCATGAACCACATGCCGCCGTGGAGTGGCCAGGTTATGATGGGAAACCAGCTGATGTACACTAGCGACGTGTTGGCTTATCCCCCTTCTCCCTTAGTCAGCCGCCAGTCCTCGCCATCCCAGTCACGATCTCCTAGTCGCAGTAACTCGCCGATGGGCCGCGGCAGGACTAATGTTAACTCGCGCGCCTCGTCCACGCAATCTACTCAATCCACCTCGACCAGTCTGGCGTCGTCAGGCAGCCAGACGAGCAGCTCCGTTTCGAACATTAACAGTAACAGCAATAACTCCCTACCGCCCCTACCGACGCCCGGCAGCGCAAGCAGAAGTCTTCCTAGTCAATCGCCGTTACTCCCGTCATCGCGGCCCGTTCCTCCCCCCAACGCGAGCTCCTCGGGCTTCTCCCGACATAACGTCGACAATACTCCGTCGTCTACACTGATCTCGGCGGCCCAGTCGAAACAACCTCCGCCACCGCCACGGCTCAGGTCGTCCAACTCGGGCGATTCCCTTCGGGAGACCGTGGGTAAGGAGATGCCGAACTTTAAAGGCAATCTGCAGAACTTTTCTCGCGACGAGGTAAGTGAAGTCGCATTTTCAGCTGTTACCAGCTCGCTTGCGCGAGACTATACGGTTCGCGTATATGTAAATAATTTGATATTGAACTATTTATGTTATGTACTTATGCGTTTGTGCGGATTGCAGATCAGAAGAATGAGTGACGAAGATTTAAGGGACATCGGCTTGACACCGAACGCGGTAGGACAGTTGAGGAGTATAGTCAAGAGTCAAACCAGCAATGGCTTGAACCAGGTTTCAACGGATAAGAAGCCGGATAATGTAAGCAGTGCCTCACATTCGCTCGCCGAACCGGTCGAAAATGAGGTAAGATTTATACGAAATGTCACGCATAATGTATAATGGCTTCAAGAACTCCGTCTAATCCGAATCAGTTTTTTTCTTAGCAAAAATATGAGACATACCTGTAGGCTGTTTCGCAATAGCTGTTAAGTTACAAACGATTAAAAATAGTGTTGTACACATTAAACTTCTCAATGTATTTGCGCGTTTTCTGTTTTTAAATGTTGAATCACGTCGTGACGAACATGTAATGTGAACATTAGCTTTATAAATACAATACGAATGAGAAAACGTTTCGCATTCGTACAGAAACGTAATGCATGAGAGATTGTAGGAAAAACGTCGTATTTTCTCATTAAAAACTTATTAGACGACAATTATAAATCAATCTCTGTAAAATCTAAATTAACGTTGTGTTTTTGTTATCCAGAAACTTATTTACAAATTTATATCGTTTGTTTTTTCCTACAGGCATCCGGTATGGAAGTTTTGGGTGATTCAAGCGGTAGTACAAGCGGGAAATCGATGCCATTACAGGAACAGCATCCGGCAATGCATTATCATAATCATATGACTGCTCCCAATGTTCGGCGTTATCCTGGCATGCCGTCGATAGATCCCGCGCAAATACAAATGTATCCTGCACCACCGCAAATGTATACAGCTCCAAACTCACCATGTTACACTTGTCTCACTACTGTACCAGTAGCTGGAATGCATAATCGATATTCAAGGTACATATAAACGAGTTCTCTCGGTGTTTTAGACAATGAATTAATGACGTTAAAAATATTAAAGGTCAAGAAAATTAAGAACGGTTATCCTAAAATAAAAGAGATAATTTCTGTGATATAAGCGATTGATAGTTAATAAAGGATCATTTTCGACTATTGAATTTTAATAGAGATTTAATATGGGCTTGATTGGAATATAATATTTGGTGTTCAATATCTAACATCAAAGTTATCGCCATGTGTATCGTGTTTCCAGATGTAACGCTCAGCACCTGTATTGCCTTGGACAACTGCAAGCGCTGCGACTCGACTCTGAGAGCAGCCGGCACTGTTCTCAAAGCAGTAGTTCTGATAGCACCGGCAGTAGATCTCCTCCCGAGACGCCACCGGCTGCACCATGGGTTAGTAGCAGCGGCGGCGGCGGCGGCGGCGACAGCAATGTCACCGATCACATGAGTTCCGCGCCGGTGCACTCCACGGCGACGGCGCCGCCGCACGTCGTGTCAGCACCCCAGCAGTCGCCAATGCAATCGTCAGTGCCACCGGAGAGCAGGCAACTTACCAGGAAGAATTCGCAGACGCGCATGATGCGACAGAAGAGCCAGGGAATACTGAACGGGGCCGGCAACGGGAACGGTGGACCGCCGAGTCTGTCGCACTGCGTCTCTTTCCCGGCGCCGCCGACACACTCGCAGCTCACGTACCTGCCGCACGGCCACTTCCCAGCTGCGCTACGGCCCAGTAGCGGTATCTACTCCAACTTCTTGCACGGGCCGTCCGCGCGACCAGCCTACCAGCCAGCGTACCAACCGAACGGCGACATTATGTATCCGTATACGGGTCATCCCGCGTCCGGTAGCACTCCGCCGCCGCCGCCGCCGCCGAACGCGGCTGCCGCGGCGCCAGTACAGGCGTACATGCCACCTACGTCAGTGGTAACGTACGCGGCGGCGGTGATACCGCAGACAAAGATCTCCTGTTATAACTGCGGCAGTAACAGTCACCTCGCGGTAGACTGCAAGGACCAGACAATGGAGGACATTACAAAGAAAGGTATGTCCTCTTAATAAATCGATCGTTGTGTTACATGAAGGGAGGACGCTTCTGATTTGCTTAACGTGTAAACAAGACGGAACTGTAGATTTTTAACGAATTTAATCAAATCTTTACAAAATCTTCATCTAAGTGGAAATGTTTGATGTCGTAGTTTGATGAAGTAAAAATTGAAATTAAAGAGGAAACGTAAAATTATTATACAATCCATATTTTCGAGAGAAAAGAAATGAATCGACTTGGAGGGTATCTTGTTTAAATTAGGATAAATGGAATATGTAATTGTGCCGCGCACGATTTTCACTATGTTCATATTTAAAAGAGAAAGTTTCTTTTTTCTATAGAATATCAATGTTTTATAACTGCTGCAGACTTGATATACAAACTTGTGACCAGCACTTAAGTATTGAATGAGTGGTCTCACCCGTAATCACGCAATCTAGTCACGTATTGTCGTCACGAAGAACACAAAATCCTTTTAATTTCAGCCCAATACCGACTGGATTACACGATAATGAAGCAGCCGGGGGAGTGCCCGAGTTCCGACAAGTGATCCCCTGCCATGGACCACTCTGCTACCACTCGTCACAATTCTCACCGCCACTATAACCGCAACTATTGTCATCATCGTCATCACCAATATCACCATCGCTATCATTTTCATCATCTTCACCGTTACCATCACCATCACCACCACCAGCACATCGTCTGCCATTGTGATCACCAATACACCAATGCGAATCGATCTAAGGACAAGACATTGCAAATTGACAACCTCCGCTGTTCCTCCTTTCACCTTTCGGTAATTTTTCTAAATACCCTATTCTGCAGTCACGACGATGATGACGATGCTAATGCGAATACTGATGCTGACGATGCTGACGGTGACGAAAACGATGACGTAGACGCCAAGTACGACAAGTACGACAGCGACGAAACTTTTCTAACTGAGGACACTTCGCGGTTTATGGTACGGGGTACACCTTTTGCAAGTTCTTATGTATGATAGTGATTGAAAAGTGATCTAACTAAATGTAAAATATTATGTAGTAGTATTGTACAGAGAAAGAGCAAAAGCGAGACGAGAAATAATTGAAAGGCCGCGTTATACGGAACACAATGTCTTGTTTGTGTTTCTTTTACCGTAGGACACGTTTCGAGAGACTTTTGGGTTTAAATAATGACTCATGTCCTTCCAACGACACACTTATTGGATACTTATCGCTGTGACTCCCACCTCGGCAGTCCTCCTATCTTCCCTCCTGTACTCTAAACTCTCTTAACGAGTAGCTATAAGAGAAGAAAAGGACGAAGAATGTACTGTGCCCCAAACAGGAAAGAAAGCGAAAGTTATACGAGATTCGACTATAGCAATCGATACTTTAACTTCTAATCTACCATGTCTACGCTATTACTATTACTATTAAACTATAATTACTTCTACCATCGCCGTTGCGTCACGACGTTTTTATGTACATATATTTTTCTCAATTCTTACGTGCGCGATGAACCGATAATGACATGTGAAAAAGAAAAAAAATGTGTAATATATGAAGTAGTGTACGGTATGTGTGCTGTGCGATGTGCGCGCAAGCATGTGTTAGTGTGTGTGTATGTACGCGCAAAAAAAAAGAAGATTGAAGAGGCAGAAGGCGAGAGTAAGAGGGAAACAAGAAAATGATAAGGGCAGGAAAAAGAGGACGAAAGTCGGAGAGGGGGGAAGATAGAGAAGACAGTAAAGGAACAACGTACCAAAAGTGTTCGATCATCTAGCTGCCGTTGCGCTTCTGTGTGTGTGTGTGTGTGTGTGTTTGTTTGTTCGCTTACGTGTGCTTGCATGTATATGTATGCGAGCATGCGTGTGCGCTTGTATGTGCGCGCGTGTGTATGTTTGTATGCGTGTGCGTGCGCGTGTGTATGAGTGTGCGTGTGTTTGAGGTAAAATCATGAAATATATGTTATATGAATCCTACATATAATGTATACTTCATAATTATACATTTATACGTATTTGCTGCTCACAACTTGTTTCTTATCTTATACTTGTAGTTAGACGGCGATTCTCATATTATTTATACACGAGTAGTCACGCGATTGCACGTGCATTTGAAACGATTTTATACGACTTTTATCGATTGCCCATGTATTTGAGCGTAATCAACGTTAAGCTTTTTTACGCGTTTGGTTGCAGCAATTTATGTGTTAAGCATGGTTAACTAAATCCTCTGTGCATCTATATTTGGCTACAACAATTATTTGAAATGGAAGGATCGCGCTGTCAAAATTGTCTTGAAACTGCACATTTTTAAGAAGTGTACTTTTATTGACGCAGTTTTCAAAGAGTATTTTCAAACTGACCCAGCAATATATACATATAAGTATAATGTATTATACATTCTAAAGTTGTATCAATTTTCCACTTTTTTTAAAAATATCGCCAATAACATTATTTTTTTTAGTTTTAAGCTATCCAGTATGATATATTCCAAAATTGATCCAGTATGATATCTTTTGGGGTATCTATCGCAAAATATCTACATATTTTGCGATATGACCTTACAAACATTTATATCCATTACATATCTATTATACGAACATCTTGTTTATACATGTTGAAAAACGAAATGGGTTAGTTAACCAAAGCTGCAACACTGTTGATGCAATGGACTCTTAGGGAGCAACAACGCAGGGTAAAGCTGAATGTGAGTGGAGTGGTAGCCCGCTAGCAAAATTGCTAGTGCATTTAAAACGATTATTAGGATTTTCATCGGCGCATGTGAAAACAGCTTGAATCCTTTGTATATGAACGAACTTTTATGATTGAATCTTAAAGACGAAAAAAACTCTTCTCCTCACAGAATCATATATTTTCTTGTACGAACGGTCGTAATACGCAAAAGTGATTTTTTGATTAAGAAAGAAAAACATAAAAATGAAAGGTGATAGATAGCAATGAACAAGATAGTCGGAAAATAACTAGGTAAAGAGAAACTGATAAACATGGAAGATGAAATTGTGCTATTTATAAGGAAGTTACGGAAACGACTAAAATGCTATTATATAGCGTTGACAAGCCAAATCGGACATTCTCTGAGAGACATGTAAAATTTTCTCAGACTTTATTTAACTTTTTCCAAATAATTGTCAAAACTTATTGTGGCAAGATGTTATTCAATGAAATCAAATTATACCGGTTATCGTAAACTATGGAAAATACCAAGTCAAATAAATTTCATGTAATAAAATAATGTATTTGTTTAATTATTAGAAGTTGCCAACAAAAATCGCCTCTCCTAATCGAGCAAACAATGTAGTAGAAATAATGTTGCTGTCGTTTCGCATTTGCATTACTGCGATATGATGTACTAGACAAATCGAAAAAGAGAATTAAAGAAACAAATTTAGAATTAAATGTCCGGTAAGGCTTTACGACCTGAAAGTAAGTTGCAAATTTTTTTCGATTGATTGATTGATTTGTGGTATGTTACCCCTTTTTTATTATATACATTATATACATTCAATTGAATTTTATTAAATATATATACATGTATTAGAGGAATGTAATTAAGGAAAACGAAAATTGCTTAAAAAGTAAGGTATTATATATAAATTGTTTAAAAATATTAAAAGTTTTTGACAAATTCGGCCTGTAAAAGATGCAAAAAGATAACAGTATTTTGACATATACATTTTTTTAACAAAACTTACTTTTTCAAGGTATCTAATATTGAACAATGAAAAGACGAATAATAATATATGGCTTCATATAAATTGAGGAAAGATTAACTCTTTATTCTTATTATTCTGCAATTCATTATAAATATGAAAGATATTAGATAATTCCCTCAGATATCTGTTATACATTAAACAATAGTTTCCCCGCAGTTTTCGTACGAAGCATTTTATTCGCCTTGAAGTAAATTTCTACGGAAAAAGATCAATGGCCGAAATATTGTTTCTGGAAAAATGTTGGCCCTGGCTTGTTTGTTACTGAAACCAGCCCCGAATATTAAAAGGGTTGACGATTGGGCATTAGATGTTGCAGTTCCTGTTACTGTTAAAAATTACAAGAATGTTAGAAGGCCGGCTGTCGTGTATGTACAATTGCTAGGACGATTAATAGAAAGGGCTTGATCTTTGCGGTTCCATACTTTTTTTTTTTCAGATAATTACAAACCCGAAACAAAGCCGACAACATGTTTTGACATTGGTTTAGATTATTTGTATTGTTGCGATTGCGTTTTTGATATCAGGTATTAAGGTCGTATCTTAATTAATTCGAGTCGTTTCGGCATTGAGATTTTTCTAGAACTACGAAATTTAAGAGCACAATGGCTGGAAAAAATGAAGGAAAAGAGTACAAGACTCTCAAATAATATCAAGGTTACTAGTTAAAAATTTGATTGGGGTCAAAATAATCGCTTTGACTTCTCGAGTGTTAAGACAAGTTGATTACGTCCGTTGTTAAATAATATATCAACAAAATGTGTCGAACGAAATTTGTATAGCGACTGTGAATAATACATATTACTGTTCATAAGTTGTGAATATGGATAAATTAAGAAGAAAACTTTATAGAAAGGATCAATCAAAAAGGACACACACGAGATACTCTAGATTAGATTACGCATTTGTCACAAAAATGTAAAGGGAGTACAAGATGTATAGTAAAAATAATAAAATTATAAATAAAAAGAAAAGATCTAGAATTTTAAGAGCGTACTCTTCTAAAGGAATAAGAAAGCCTTACTTTAAGTGCGTACAGCTTATTGTTAGTGTGTATTTAATCCTTCGTGAATACTTAAATGTAATTATATTCCTGTAAACGTAATTATATATTATTGGGAATACTTAAATGTACTTTGTATATCGACTAATAATTTTTTCTCAGTAAAATCCTTTTTTTATTATTTCTCTTAAGCTGTAAAAGAAATCGACTTGAATGACTTTAAGAGGATTTAGATTACGCAAATCATGAAACTTGATATATAAGTTTTTTGTCAGTCTCGAAGAAAAAAAACAAAGCCAGAAATTCTCATCCAAAACCAGTTAATCACATTTAATGATAACAAGTAAGTAATGATGTATATGTATGTACACAAAATAAATAGATATGACAATTCTGATCATCTGGCAGGTAGATTGTCGATTTAATATCAATGTAAGTTAGAAATATTAAGATTCGAGTTATTGATCACCGTTGATGCAGCCATTGATTATTAATATAATTTTTTAAGTACAAATTCGCATTTTTATTTTAGAAGTAGAACACAGCGAATAGTTCATACAGTGCATGTTTTAGAAACGGTTTACCCCCTAGGCAAGCTCTTCAGTTTGTGCCCCTTACACTCTTTCATTTAAGATTGGTTGGTATCACAAGTAAAAATCATGTTAACTTAAAAAAACATTTTATTTTGTAAACAAAAACGAGGATAAAATATGAAAAAATATATAAATTCAAATCAAATTAATAAAATATAAATGTTTTGGTACGTTTCTTCGGGACGAATCAAGAAAAATATTATATTGCAACAAAACAAAAAGTTAAAAAGTCTGACGTTTCCTTTACTTGTGGCGCCCTTACACAATTGCCTGATGTCTAGATGGTAAAATCAGCACTGCGTTCGTACTATAGCTGTGATATTAAAAAATTAATATCTAATCGAAGATCTGCCCGATGGAATTGTCATATTTACTTATGTTATGTTGTGCTTATGTTATTCGTCTTTGAAAGTTGTTGCATTATAAATATACTTTCTGTATTATTTATATGTTAATCGCGAAAAACATCATTAAAAATACATATTAGACCTTCGGTGGTCTGATGATAAGACTCAAGCAGTAGAGGTTCAAATTCGAGCTCTTAATATTTTGTACAACAAAATTATCGATAACACACAGCGCGAAGTTTATAAGTTGCGCTTATCAGCACAGTGTTTATTATTATTAAATGTTTATTATTATTAAATTAATTAATAATAACAATTTGGTTTTTCAAATTTAGAAGATCACGTCAAACAGCAGTAATCGACATGTAATTCGAAATTCGTGGTGATTGCAATCGAATTAATAATTAATATTAAGCTCGTGATCGAAATTGTATTTATTTATTCTGTGTTCAATGAATGTAATAATTTACTATGTCTCGCTTTATGCAACGACTGATATTTTATTAAATTCAAAACACGGCTGCAGCATGGGGCGTGACTTACAAACAATTAAACATTATTTAATTGCGATATGAATGCCAGACACAAATACTATAAATAAACGCGTAACGTTTAAAAGAAGGTTTTGACATTTAGTTTCTAGATTATATTGCCGATATTGAGTTAGATAATAAGATTTCTTTTGTGGAAATAGAGTTTCTTTAAAAAAGTCATTATTTTGTGATCGTGTTGCGTTACAATGGAAATATTTTCAAAGTTCTTAAAAGCTTTTAAGCCTGGTTTCACCAACGTCGCTTAACTTTAAGCTTAGCTTACTTCGTTCTTTGTCTCTTTTCAGCTGTTACCCTAGGAAGAGACAAGCACGAATTAAACTAATTGTAAGATTAAAGTTAAGCGACGTTTGGTGAAACCGGGCCTTAGATACTTGTGTCTTTTTATATATTCATATTACAAGTTAAATAAATTACTTCAATGTAAATAATTTCTATTTAGTTGATCAAGATTGTCTATGAAACAGGTTCATAGATAGATAAGTTAAACTTTTAAAATAATCGAGAGTAGAAAAGGACATTGAGAGTGCCACGTTTTAGTACGTGTAGAATTAACAATATTAAATCGAACTTATAAGTGCGGCAATCGATCGGGCGATTCGATTCCAATTGAATCTTCAGCGATGTCAAATTAATTGTTCTCACGTGCTCCATTGCGTCACAGGCGAGAGTTAAGGGATACAATGGAGCACGTGAGAACAATTAATTTGATGTCGCTCAAGACGGCTCGAATCGAAATCAAAACGTTCAGTTTCCGTACTCACAAGTTTGATAAAATATTGCTAATTCTACACGCACTAAGAATAAGATCCGCGTTGCACTCCTTTTTCATTCTGGATCAACTGTCTCAGCATCGAGAGTGCGTCTGTTACAAATTTCCCTATTTACCTCTCGAAACTTTTTTTAATTAGAAGACACGGTGAACTCATTTTGAAGACATAAAATTTTTAATTCAAAGAGTACAACTTTTATACATATTGCCTGTCTATTCGCGAAACTTATAAGAGTGGCTGGAAAATCTGTTTTTGATAAACTTGAATCGAGATTATGTCGTTTTCAAGCGTCTTCAAATTAGTAAAATTTGAGCTCTTTAATAATTAGTGCTTCTCAATTTTTTTAAATAAAATTTAAAAAAACCTACTTTGTCGTCTTTGAAGAAATATGAGTACATACCGTTCGAAAATTTGTTAGATTTAAAAAATTATAGAGCATCCATGGAAAATCATTGATTTCTTTTTTATTCGATCGCAGTACATTAATTAACTGCTGTATTTTTATTAATAATGGCCCCAAGTTTGAACCGGTAAAATCACCATTAGGAGATTTCAACAGTTACCTAAGAGGATTTGCATCGATAAAATTGACAGACAGGATAATTGGATTGTTAATTAAATTTGCAATTTATATTATTTACTATACAAATTACATTGATTATGTATCGCATCCTCAAGACACATTTATATTTATTAGTTCATTCTACAATAGAATAAACAATTCAAATTTTATCAGTCTGGTCGACCATAGGCTCTTGCATTTTTATTTACATTGCTTCTTCACAGAGGAAGCTCTGTTTTCGTGAAAAAAAAAGTGTGAGTCTCATTTTTCTTCGCCAATGTATTAGAGATGTTCCAAAGCGTCGAAAAATCGCATTTAGACCAAAATGTCTGTGCGTGCGCTGAAATTACTGCGGGCGCCACAACTTCCGTAAATTTTGAGCTATCGGTTCGAAGTTTTTTTTCAGATTGACTAAGTATCGTTGAAGGAAGGTCGGTATTGATTTTGGTGTGATAATTGGTGCGAGGGTTCGATTCATCCGCATGTATTTATGGACATTAAGGTCGTCGTCCCTGCAGATTTACTACATCGCACGTATGAAAATAGCCGAAGGCGTCCAAGTTAATCAAAGTGATACCTCCACCGAGATTAACGGCGATTAAACACTCGTGCCAGCTGGCGGCAGTGATACCGCGGGACTTATCGCCGCGGGCGTGCAAAAAATTGCTTATTAAGTACTACGTCGGACATTGCCGGGGGGGGATATCGTTCGCCGCGGCCTACGTGCACCGAGGGGACAACCGCAGCCCGACGTTTCGCCGTTCGGACGCTCGCTGCAATTCGAGGACCACGAAAAAGACCCCGGTGCGGCGGCCGTTATTCCCTCCCGAGCTATCGCGCACTCCACGTGACCCACTATCCGCCTCGCGCCCCACCAACCCCCTTGGGCTCGCGCTCGTTCTCGATATCACCCCCTCCTCTCCTTCCTTAGCATCACCCTCTCCCTTCTCTGTTCCGTCTCCTCGCGAGAGAGAGACTTTAATACGCATACGCGAGTCGGCTGCGCATCGCGTCGCATTAGCTCCGTCCCGAGCGGCGGCGTTTTCAGCGGGGACGGGGGTCGATCGAAAGCAACCTAAAGCGAAACGGTCGCGGCGGGGCGGGGGTCGGGCGGCCCGAAATCCGCGGAGGGTTGAGGGTGCGAGATCGCCGTTGCGTGGTACATCGCCCGCCATTGCTGGTGGAGCCATCTGGTCGCGGATCTCGCAAAGGGGTGAGGAAGAGATCGAGAGAGAGAGAGGGAGAGAGCGAGTGAGTGCGAGCGGGGTAGAAGGGTGGAAGGGTGGGTAACGAGGGTGATCGCGCGCGCCGCGGGAGGGGTGCTAAGGAAATCACGTATTGACGCGTCTGCGTGGTCACGCCGGCGCGTTGCCGCCTTGGAGGGTGCGCCGCGGAGGGGCGAGGGGCGGGCGAGGCGGCGGGAGGCGGAGAGGTGGAAGGATAGGCAGCGAAGACCTCTCTCGCGGGGGTCGGGCCAGCCTCGATCGCTCAATATTCAACCCTTCGCCCGCGACGAGAGCGCCCGACAGCAGCGGCTCCTCCAGACGGGGGCACGAATCGACCGTTCCTTCCTTTGCGCCCTCGCCCGCGGAGCTGTTCGATCGCGGCCGACGTTCCGCCGGAGGAAGGAAGTCCTCAGGCCCCTCGGAGAAGGACCGGAGCCACGCGGGTGGCAGAGCGCGCGATCTCTTCTCTCACGGCCCTCTCTTCTTCTTCTTCTTCTTCTTCTTCTGTCGCCCGAAGAGAGTTCCACCCTTTCTTCTCTCGCGCGCTCGCACTCTTCTCACCCCAGTTGTCGGGAGCCGTCGTAAGAGCGGGATGGAGGGCAAGAAAGTCGAGCAGTATTACTCGCCGCCGCCGAAGCTCGGGAAATGGGAGGGCTTCCGTGTCTTCCTCTGGAACTCCGAGACGGGACAGTTCCTGGGGCGCACTGGCGCCAGTTGGGGTGAGTTTCTCACGGCGATTGTGCGTTTCGTGGCCGATAGGGCCCCGACGTCTCAGCTTCTCCCGTTGAGTCCTTGCGTTTCCGACCCGCCCCTCTGTGCGCAAGATTATTTTCCGGGAGATTAACTGCTGACCGCGAATGTCCGGGTGAAGTTACACGAGAATTCAGATGTGCCCCCGATAGCTGTCTCGCTAAAGCCACGTAGCACGTAAGACTTGTGTGTAGATAAGGGCAGTAGTGTGTCACTTGGAAGTCATATTAGGTCGTAGAGTCGCTAATCCTTTCGTTACGTCGTAGTGTTTTAACCCGCTCGATCCCGAGGGAATCCCAGCGAGAAATGACCCCCGCCAATCGATGTCGGTTCGACGTCGCTTCGACGAATCATTTCCCACTGGGATGTGCCCTTAGACGTCGAGAGCAATACGACCAGTTTGACCAATCCGTAAATGTGCAGGCCGGGTAGTACATCGTCCGTGTATAAAAAAAGAAACGTCACACTGTTCGCATTCATATTTCCAGATTTACGTTTATACTCGTGCCGTTTCGCGCGACAGCGAGCAAGTTAGGCGAGAAAGCGACAGACGGGCCCGGCAGTTAGTATCGTGACCCAATTATGCGGAATGCGTGGACGCACGAAATTGCGAAAATCCTTCCGACGCGCTTTGTGTCCGCCTGGCGCTGCTTTTTCGGGGGTACGTGGAATTTGTGTCTCTCACGAGACGCTCCAAGTCGCTTGTACGCGGTGTGCAAATCCGCCCGACGTCGCCAAGTCAAGTCCCCGGACGTCCGTCGTTAAACGAATCGTTAATGCCCTCGACAATTAGTAATTTTCCGTGTTTTTTCTTCCCGACCCGATCCAATTACTTCCGTCACGTTTCGCTTGACCTATATCAAGATTAATGACCAAGCGCGCGGGATTGGAGGGTGATAAGCCCCAGACAGCGCACACGTCTGGAAGACGTCCTCGAGGCTTTCCGCAGGGACGTCGTAAAGTTAGAAGACTTTTCTCCCGGAGCGTGTACACTAGGAATCACCGATGCCTCCCCCCACGAATTTGTACACATTTATACGTTTCGCATGCACGTATACATGGAAAATGTATGCGCGTTCGACCTGTGCCTAAACTCGTATGGGGAGGCATCGGTGATTCCTAGTGTACAGCTACTTACATTATCCACCGTAACGTTTATCGATTAAAATATACGACATGGCGAATCTGAATATAACACCGTCTATAAAAATGTTTACTGTTAATCCGACGCTGCGACATCGTGCAGCTTTCAACGCTACGGCCACTCGGGCGAAATTTTCTCGGAAGTGTGCGCTAACCAGAAGAAAGAACGCGAGGAGCTGGAATCATGCCTAATAAATTGATATATCAGTGACTTAATACTTACATAACTTTGCCAACGAAACAGATCTCCGTTGTAAGAGATAGACCGTTATTGAAGTTATGTAAAGTAGTGAGCGGGTTACGTAAGGCTTTTGTGAATTCGGGAGTTAAACAAATTGTCCCTAAATATATCGGGAATTGTAGGGACGTGCGCTTACTGAAATAGCACATGTACTTACACACGTAAATCAATAATCATCAAGTGTATCTCCCGAGTTTCTTTGTTTGCAAAGTAAGCGAAATAATATTTTTTTCTAGCTATTAACTTCGAAAGATACGACGGTTTCGAAAGATACGGGTGGTCGAAGGTTATATGTGACGAAGCCTCATTACGTAATAATACAAAAGTTAGTAGTTGCCACCGGTGACATTTTCTTGATCGGAAAATTTTGTCCCCGCATCCTCAATTATTTACCAGCGTACCGGTGTCCGTTTTTATGCGCACAAACGGTGATGCGCGAAAGAGTTAAAAGCTTGGAATTTGATTATCAGCTATTCGTATTTAGTAATTGACGTTGAAAATTTTCGCTCGGTCCAAATTGTTTATCGGCGCACAAATTGGCCGTAAAATCGACCTTAGATATTGGATCTAACTTGTGACAATGTTAAAACATTTATCTGAAAGTCTCGATTAAATGGTTTAATGAGTTTAGCAAATATTCTGCGAGTAACAATTTTCAAGCGAGGCTCACCGTAATCAGCAGCTATTTTTACTCTGCAATCACCAGCGGTGACAATCGACGTGAGATTTTTATTCCTCGCCTGTCGTTCGACAGCTTCGCTTTCTGAAAACGGACATCAAGGATTTTATCTTTGAAGAATCAATAAGTCAATTTACTCGTATAAATTTACACATTTGGAATTATGCTGTTTTATAATTTATGTTGCGTGCCTGTGAGCTGTTTGTAGAAAAAAAAACGAAGTAAGTAAATTTACAACTTCAAACGGCATTAGTCACGTCGTGCCATTGAACAAAGTGACTATTTATAAAGGCAAAAATTTATCCAACGGCGAGCTGGTTACGTAAGACATAGTTTCCTCCGTCGGAAGTGCTGTACGCGGCGTAAGGTTTCGCATACATGTGCACTTTACTACTTACCGATCGCGAAGTATATATTGAACCAGAAAAAATGCAAAAAAAATAAGGAATACACCTTTCCGGGTAATGAAAGAAAATTGGCATTTAATCTTCCAATTACGAATGACGATTAGCTTGTGCAAATTGAATTGCGATCTGGAAATTCCGTAGCGCTCGATATGGAAAATTAAAAGATTTCGAAGGAACTGCGCCTGAGAAAACAGTACAGGGCTCAGATTGCATTCTTTGAATTAATCGCAATTAATTGGCGCCGAAAACATTGGTATTTGCTTTGGCAATTTTCTTAGTGTTAGTTTTATATGCTTACGTAACGAAACTAAAGCTAACTAAAGAAACCAACGCGAGGCGAAGACACGACGGCCGAGCATGAAGATCTCTCGGTATCTTCCTTTTGAATAACTTACGCAGGAAAGTACATTTTCGTTTATATCGGAACTCTATCTTTAGGCTGACCATTGTGTCAGTCTGACGATGGTTCCGAGAACATCTGAAATGTTTTCGTGCGTTTGTGCAGACAGCAAGTTAAAGCCGAAAATATCTTGTGATAAACGTAAGGTTTACCATCAGCAGAGCGCCGGTCTAGCGTGACTACTTTTTAATCTATACTTACTGTTACGCGTATCCTGTTTCGATAAGCTGCCATTTAGCGATTAATTTTTACATCTTTTCATTAACGGGAAATTTCATGTACACAATAATAATTTAACTTCGCTCGACTAACGAACTCCTTATATAACCATCTCTTAAAAAATTGTTTCTAATCGATATTCAAAAATTATAAGATTTTGAAGGAATTGGGCCTGAGGAAACGGTACGGGGCTCGGATTATATTCTTTGAATTAATCGCAATTAATTGGCATCGTAAAAATTGGACGAAACACCTTGTTTCCATTTTCTTCTCTAAAGTGCTTTGTCTTTTTTAACCAAAGCGAAAAATTGTACGCGCGTGTGTAAATAGTGTAATACAATTTGTTATTTGAGCGCACGCACATTTAATTTGTAACTTAAATACATTCGAAATCGCATTGCAATTATTGCATTTGCGATCTCCGAAACGCACTGTTGTTTGACAGGACATTCTCTATAATCGTAATGCAATTTTTATTTGATTACTTAACAACCGAGAGAGAAAGAGAAGAGATAATTATATTACATTTACTTCATAACACGTGTAAAAGCTCGCGCCTGAAAGCCCCATTTTTCGCCAGATTTATCACCCGCGCTACTTTATTCGCTACTTTAGTCCGAAGTTTTTCGACGGCATTCAACAAAATCAAAGTTTGCGGTCTCCTACATCCGCGTATCGGGGTGCGACCTCGCTGGCGACTTCCGTCGTTCTATTTTTACACTCCACCGCTTGAGATAGGAACAGGGAGAAAATACACGGAGTGAGCGATGTCATGAGTTTTCAATAGGGTGACTTTTTAAATAACTCGCTGGTTGCAAGTGTGCATCGTCGCTCCAGAGTTTCCCTTTCAACCCCTTCGCGTCCTTTCGTTCATTACGACGTTTCATTTGTATTTCGTGTACAATACAATGCGCCTCGTAATCCTTTTCCACAGAAGTCTGCCTATCGTATCGTTTTCTCCCTTTCCCTCCCCTCTCCACTCTCGTCCTTCTCTTTCCCCTCTTTTTTTCCCCGTTCTGCTTTATCACTTTTTATCTATGCCCCTTCGCTCTTCCGTTGAGGTCGATCGACTTCCACCAAAATCAATACGAGCCGTCTCCGTTACCATCTCACAGAAATGGTATGGTCTGATTTCTATACTGGATAGTGTTAGCGTCTGCGCGCTACCAACGCAGCCGATTTTTCCAGCGGAATGTCCTACATTTCAAGTTCGATCCCGCGGATTTTGTCGAGTCCGAATGAATGTAGATGGAAAAAGGCTCTTGCAACGGGCCTTGCGGTGTGTATTATAAAATGGCCGAGATAAACTTAGCGGTTATGCACCGCCTGTTGTATTATCGCGTCAGAATGCTAATGGCCTATTTGACCGAAAGAAACTGTCGGAACGCGTCCGTTGCATTCCGTACCGTGTCGATCGATATCCCGAGAAAAGCCATGGAAATGTTACGTACGTTACCGTAGCGACTTCGTCAACGTGCAGCCATTGACATCAGCTATTGATGTACATCGATTGCCATATTTATGCGGTTTTACGGTCCCGATATTAAAATTAAGTTAGAAAATTAGGCGAATCGCCCTTCTCACCTTCTGGGAGACCCGACAGTGATACGCAATTTATCTTGTTAACGAATTTTAAAATACTCTCACTAAGTCTTTTCTTTCATTTTTGTAAGAAAATCTACTATAATTATCCGGGAAAAATTTATATATCTAATCATTTGAGTACATCTATCTCTCAGATATAAGCAGTTATAAATTTTGTCCCTAGCTAATCGTATACAAAAGATTTATTTTAATACTTAATAAATATTGAACAAAATATATGTATGATCTATTCAATCAAAAACTATAAAAATGTCAGTAAAATATTTGGATAAATATTGATAAAATATAGAAATAAATCTTTTAAATATTTTGTACATATTTGTGTGTTATCAAACGATATCTAACTCACATTTACGTTGTGTGTGGTTAGCTAGGGACAAAATTCATATCTGCTTATATCTCAGTTAGATATAATTAGATATAATTAGATTATATACATTTTTTCCCGGGTAGTCATTAAAAATTAGACATTATGTTATTTTTTTACATATACATGTAAAATATGTATAATATGATAATTTTTACATGTTTTACATGTTTACTGTTAGATTATTACTAAATTTATGTGTACCCCCTTTGAAAGAATAATAATGTTACGAGTAAACTGAAAATTTCTTACGAGAAATAAAGGTGACATTATTTCTAGAATCGTCAGCTGTTACATTTTTCATCTCAAACTGTTTACTCGCCAGTGTAATTATTTTTAGTTGACATAAAGTTGAGAGAAGTGGCACGTCACAAACGTCTGCGAACATACGTTTGTAATTGATTTGTAATTATCCGTGACATTTAATTACGGTGTGAACACATTACGGCCCAACGATGCAATTATGTTCAGATACAGGCTTTATACGATTGAGCGAATGCATCGTGTTATCGTTCAGGAAACTAGTAATAGATAATGATAGAACCAATGGAAAATTTTCTAAAAAGATTTGTTTGTCTCTAACAACGTCTCTACAATATGTAGTTAATTTTCTCATTATGGGATAAAAATACAGCAATCGCGTTTTATAAAGTTGCATAAACGATACGACGAAAGGATAGCTGACTGTATCGTTCATTTAATTTATCGAATAAAATTGGAATAACAGGATGTAATCATAAAATTAAAAATCACGTCTATTCCTTTTAGAAAAAGTCTTAGGGATTTATAAATAAAATAAATGAATACATTGAAACGTTAATTTTTTATCTTCGAAGAAGAAGTAAATTTATAATAATCGTAAAGACGCAATTGATCTGTTTGGAGGACGCAATTCTTGGAAGATATGTCGCTTTGCGTGCGTAAGAATATGTTCGTCAATGATTTGTATAACAAACGCATGGCATCGCTTACCCAATACCAATTCAGGCCAATTAGAGGACAGATCATAATTGTCTCGGTGCTGCCTTCGACTGGCAAACAATAGCAACAATAGAGATTACGCGCGTCAAATAATATATTTTATATTAGCTTCGATATTTTAATCCTTTGGTTTTTCATTGATCGTATCGATTAAATATTATCTAAATTAACAGTTTCTTTCAGGCGGTAGCATTAAAATCGTATTTTTAACGAATATTTTAGGATTCGAAACGAAGAAATGTGTTATTTCTATTATTTGACGAAGTACTGAAAATTGTTTTGACACAAGTTACAATAATTGACGCGTATAGCGCAAAAGAACTTCGTCGATAAATCATCTTATAATAGATCGCGTGTTTTAAAAGAGCCGCTGCTAAGTTTGACTTTGGCGATTGTGTAATAAAGCAGCTTTCATGTTTCGAGTAGTTTCGATCGATTTTATAGAATTAGCCTTGAGATACTTTTTCTACATGATACGCAAGAAATAAATGCTTCGGTAATACGAGCGTCCACTTGCTGACTTTTAATTGAATTCAAGGCGCAAATGTTTTTTACGCAAGTATTTATAGTGTATAAATAGAAAGAGAAATATCTCCACACGGAAAGTACGCCTTGTGGAAGATTGTTATTCCAGTTTTCAGCAGAAGTTGAACATTACATACACGCTATTCTTGGGGAAAAAATAGCACCACAGATAAAGTATACGTGCTATATAACACGTAATGTAATACTCGCCATGTTTAGAATAAATTGTGTAGCGTTAAAGTTATCGTGAATTTTTCAATGAATAATTTATTGTTGAATAAGTAATTCTTGTATATTATTTTCATCATAAAAATTTAATTACATGCACTTGTATAACTGTAAAAATAAATAGCTTTCATTTAATACAAATGTTATATAATAAAATGTCAACTTGTTACTTCTTTTTACTTACACATTTTATTTGTTAAATAAATAATTAATAAATCAGAAAATAGATTAAAATAAAGAACTACTGAAAAAAGTGAACATTACAATTTTAACTAAAAAAGTATATTCGTTCTCTCTCTTTCTCTCTCTCCCCATATTGAGGTTTACAGAAAGTAATTTCTTTTCTCGTATTATAAAATTCAATGGTATTTTGCCTTACATAAGCAAATATATTTTCAGCTAAAATTTTGCTGTTCTACGTAATTTTCTATGCCGTCCTCTCCGGCTTCTTCGGTGCGATGCTCGCTGTGTTCTATCAGACATTGGACCCGAACGCGCCGAAGTGGCAGCTGGATAATTCGCTGATCGGCAGCAATCCGGGTCTCGGTTTTAGGCCTATGCCTCCCGAAAGCAACGTCGAAAGTACTTTGATTTGGTACAAGGCTAGCGACGAGGGTAATTATCTACACTGGACGCGGGAGTTGGACAAATTCTTGGAAGGTAAGAGAGACACTTGAACGAAGCACAAGTTTTAGAGTAAAGCAAATAACGGAAGCAAGTTAATTACTTTATTTATTTTGAAGAAACATTGCTCGTGTTGAATCTAATATTTGTTAATTAACCGGCACGGAATTAATATACAGTTTTCAAGATATAATTTCCGTACAATGCAGAATATTATAAGCCGCCGAGCGTTACGAACAGCTACGACAGAATTAACTGCGATTACGGTAAACCACCATCACCAGGCAAAGTCTGCAATATAGACGTGCACGCTTTTCGACATTGTAGTAAGGAGAACAAATACGGTTTCAGCAAATCCTCACCTTGCATCTTCTTAAAACTGAATAAGGTTTGTATACTTTTATGTGATATATCTACTTTTTATGCATCCCTTTAAATCGAAACTGCGTTTGTACATACAAGATGAAGAAAAGAATTGAATAATAAGTTGAATAATAAATCGCTATGTTTTCAATTTTTTTTACAAGTATCTTTCCTTTTATAATCTCACTGACAAAGAAGATAAATGATTAAGACTGTATTTATAAAGTATCGATGTACTGAATAAAAAATTTTTTCTTTGCTTATTTTTCATTCTAGATTTTCCTGGCTTTCTATTTTAGCTTTTGCTTTAGGCTTGCAGGCGAAAAAGTCAGTTTTTTTTAAATTTGGAAGATTATCTTTTACTGTTTCTTTTCAAAAGCGACTGGAGACACGTTGGCCTAGTAAAGATGTCGATTTAATAAACACCTGAAACTTATTTCAGATTTTTGGATGGGAGCCGCAATTGTACAATGATACCAAAAATTTGCCGGCTATAATGCCAGCGGATCTTAAGGAGCATATCAAGAATGAAGAAAAACAAAATAGACTGGACACCGTTTGGGTATCTTGCGCTGGTGAAAACCCTGCCGATGTGGAGAACATGGGTCCAATTCAGTACCTACCGCGTCGTGGTTTTCCTAGCTATTATTTCCCATTCAAGAACATCCAAGGATATCTGAGCCCTCTTGTAGCTGTGTACTTCGAAAATCCCAAGTGTACGTGTGCATTTATGTTTGTTTTTAATGTTAACGAAATATTCGAAATGGAGGGCAGCTTCGACAGCTATTTTATTTCGACACGACTGAGAATCTAGGAATTAATTTGAATATCGGCCTTTGTTACAGACGGCGTGCTCATTAACATCGAGTGCAAAGCATGGGCGCACAACATCATTCACGATAGATTTGAGAGACGTGGCTCGGTGCACTTCGAACTGATGGTGGACTAAGCCCGGCCGTTTCGGTCAATCGCCAGATCATCATCGCTACTAACCGCGTCCAAGTAGGAAGCCGCAAGAGTATAGAACAGAAAGAAGACATTTCTTTTTTAACCTGCCTCGTTGGCCGACCGCGATCACACCCTGTACCATCCGGTTTTCTCTCTGCCCGATGATACCGCTCCGGATTAGCCTTACTTCTTCTCACTATCATCGTTTCATCAGCTCATCGTCTTTGTCGTACTTACAACGATTGTAACAGCGGTATCCATCTATCATGTCAATCGCCAAGAGAAGGAGACAGAAGAAAGGAAGATGAGGAGAAGAGAAAGAGAGACGGAGGGAAGGGGAAATTAGAGAGAAAGAGAAGAGAGAAAATAAACGAGAGGGCAAAGCAAACGAGAAAATGACCTCAACGGAGCAATCAACTACAATCGAGATGCACAAAACCAAACCACGGGAAGAAAGAAAGGTGAAATGAACAATTCCGCACAAAAGCCGGGCGGTATCTTCTCTTATTTCTGCCAGGGTTGTGTCACGGGGAGTGATCTCGACCATCGACGGCTAGTCGATCGTTCGCAAAACTTAATTCGCGCGCGCGAAAGAGAGAGAGAGAGAGAGAGAGAGAGAGAGAGAGAGAGAGAGAGAGAGAGAGGTTCTCCCTTAGTCAAGAGCCCACCGACCGTTCCAGTTAGATCTCTTGAGCTTTTCGTCACACATGTTTCTTTTCACAAAGACGAGCTCTGGCTGATAAGTTGTCACGGCACCGCGGATGATCGATGATCTTAGTTCAGCCATGTAGATGTATTACATTAGTGTGTTTTTGCCCATCGCATTACGATACATCTTGGCATGTCGGTATGTTGAAATTTTTGGGCATTGGTAAGAGTGGTACTCGGTGAAATTTAATAAAAGACAGCAGGCACAAAGGGATACAAGTACGCGTTAAGGCTCAGTTGGACTAATTGCTATTAAATAACAATGGTAAACGTAGCTTGTAATGTTATTTGGATCTTTGAGTGGTGTTAATAGTTAATAGTGTTTCGAAAGAAAAATTAGCCGCAACGCGAAACTGTCATCGGTACTTATTGAAATGTCGAGCAAAGCTACAAATTATGTATAAGGTTGTTAAGGCCGTAATTTTTCCAAAACTATTAGCATTGAGATATTGTTAACATCTTTACAAAAATGGAAACAAATTCGTTAGAGATTTTTGCTTTTGAAGCCGGGTTTGATAAACAACATCGCTAAAATGATTTCGACGTTACGTTTGCAACGTGATGCAGGTCACATCACAACAGATCGCAATTCTATTTATATACTCGTAGCTACAAAAGCTATTGAATAATATTCGTCTCGTATGTTGACAACTGTTACTTGTATTCCTTTGTTCTGGATATTTTCAATTGAGAGTTAAAATAAAGTGTTATTTATTGAAATCTGCTATGGCGAAAGAATATAAGCAAAGATACGGATATTAAAGAGGCGATCGATAGTTATTGCCACCCAATAATATGTTGAATGTGTATGATGATCTATGATTCTATATAATGCATTTTTCATGAGATAGAAATACTGGAATCTATGGATTCTTGCATGCAGAGACACTCGGATTCACAGATTGTTGAATCTACTGATTTTTGAGCTCATAAATGCTCGGATTTACGGATTTGGACTCGCAAAGTTTTTTGAAATCGTGCATTATCAAAAGAACGTATTTTAATTTGCGAATGGTCTGTGATGGAAACGAAGAGAATTAGATGTGCAAAGACTTCAATTAATAAATTGTACATTTAGGAATTTATTCATATATGTGACATGTTGAACGCTGTATTCGTTAATTATTTGTTATCAGTTTATTGAGCCGTCGAGTCCAAAGGTCTATAGATTGAAAGAGATTTTGATAGAAATCGTCATGTGAACAAAGATCTATGGATGTAAAAATTTTTAATTAGAAATAATTTTTAGCCTTTAGAACATTTTAATTCTATCGCCTTCTTAAATTGACGAATTTATTGATTTAACTTAATTATGAAATTTAGATGCGATCAAGAATACGCGTTTAAAACGGATATCGTGGCGTGAAAGGTCCAAGACTTTGTAAATCCGAGTCTGTGTGCGTGCGCGAAGAAAAATACATGAGAATAAAAAATACGTTAAGATGCATGAAATATAGAAATGCAGATCATGATATATAAACTTAAAGAATTTATGAATTCAAAGATTTATGTGATATCAACGATCTGTACATCTAAGACTCTATGGGCCCAAGAATCTTCTTATCCGAGGATATATGAGGGCAAAAATCTATATACTCAGGAATCTATAAATCAACAGCAAGAATCAACAAGAATCTACAGATTTAAAGATCTGTGCGTGGACCTAAGAATTCAAATTAAAAAAAAAAAATTACGAATACGAAAATTTGCAATTACAATAATCTGTAAGTCCAAGGATCTATTGATTTTGCGAATTAACGTTTAATTTGCGATCTGAGAATTATTTTAGTTGTTAAGCATAGAAGAGGCATCGCAGCACTATCAGGTCGGCACTGACAAGATAACATTGTAATAATACAAAAGGAACTCTCATGCGCGTTTAGTACTTACTGAATAAGATTCCGCGAAAACCGCTATAAAATTACTGGAAGGGAATTTAAAAGTCTATACTTAAAGAACAATTTTCAAAGAGCACTCGCGATCAGTAATTACTACATTTTTAATAGTGATAGTACGAGAAATGTACATTGATCGTATACTAATAATATAAATATGTTATATTAATGATATATAATATATCGATATAGCTAAAGCATTAAAATTGTTGATGCATTAATAGTAATACTGATCGTGGTAGCCCTCCATAAGTACTTAATACCAATCTAAACGATTGATTTCTGGATGTACTTAAGTGAAAGGCATCATTGATCTTAAACTGAACTGTCGATATATCACAAATAGGCGTTTAGTCGCGATCAACGTAAAATGTTATATTGCACGCGAAGATTTGTATTGATTTTGTCCAAACTGTGCGGCGCGACATGTGGAATGCATATTATTTATATATTGTATCATGTAATATTTAATATTTATTAGTTCACGTAATCCTATATTCCCTGTACAAGTTGTTAAGTTCTGTGGCTGACGAGCGAAGAAATTGGCCGAACCGTTCCCCTTTTCTTTTGCATTGACACGAATATTACGTTCGGACGAAAGAAAATACATTCCGGAGATTCAAATGATCGAAAAGAATTGAGAAAACGGAGGTTGGATCATCGATACGAGTCTCCCCTAACGGAACATCAACCGGAGGAAAACGATGTATCAAATTTTATGTACAAGTATATTTTATGTAGTTTTCATTAGGTTAATTATACTATGCGACTACTATGTATTACAGTAGATAAGTATCGGTTATACAAAAATATAGATCTTAAAATCCGTAAATCTGTTAATCCATAGATTCACCGATTCACATTCAGCATCATAGACCCTCGCTTCTACGAAATATGTATAGTCTCGTAGTTTGAAAGACAAATAGATCCATGGATCTACAGATTCACAGATCCATCGATCCACACACGTGCACAGGTCCATCTATATATACATATATATACATATATTTTAGAGATTTACAATCATTTCTTCATAATTCCTTCAACCTATTATTATTCATAAGTTCTTGATTAATATCTTCACGATAGTCGTTTAAGCGCCTGTTTGTTAAATCAGGATTAAATCTACCATGTATCTTGAGATATAAATTTCCTAACATTATTCGAATAACGCGAGCATCTAAAAAACAAAGGTGTCTGTAAGACGTTCTTTTGTAGGCATCTTTAAGATTTCTTTTTCCAAAATGGCGTTTAAAGTATGTCGATTGAATATCCTGCGACTTTCCGAGAAGTGATCGTCACGTTTATAAAGTCTTAAAGTTGTCTATTACACGACATTTTCCGGACTACGCAAGAAAAGGATGTTACTACAGTAATTATAGTAATTATTGTAACACAATCTATTAATTCCTATGCGTATCGCGTGCCTAAAGTTTGGTGAAACTAAAGCTTTAGAGGAAATTGTAATTAGATCGCGGGTTCACTCGACGCAGCAAGCTCGAGCGTTTAACAAGAGCCGTAGGACAGATTTTTTCTCCCCTTCGCGCTCTCAGTTCTTTCCTTTCGTGAGCAATATTTATGCCTGCGTGATTGCCCAGCCGGGTAGCGGCTATCCATCAACATCTGAGCAAACAACATCCGTGGTCTAATTATAATCATAATCGGATGGCAGTTATAGGGAATAATAAATAAATTGGAGACGCCTATTTTTCTTAATATTATATTTCGTTCCCTTTTCTCTCCTATTTTCAAGCGGCGCGCTTCCCTAGCGCAACACGGAATCTTTAACCCGAAGTTATACACTCGCGCATGCGCATCAGACATCCGGAATTAACGTCCGCCCATGCGCAAAAATGTTTCGAGGTGGTCTTAAATAAGAAGTTTGTGAAAGAGAAACTACTGTAATTTAATAAGGTACTATTAACGTTATGGATTTTTCAATTTATTCGTCTTGAATCTTTGAACTTATAATATTCATAAACTAGTGAATTCTTAAATAGATTCTTGAAAAACCGATCCTTGCATTCGAAGATTCTTAGATGCACAGATTTTTGAATAATCTTCCATGGGCATTCGAAAATTTGAAAAACAGCAAGCTACAAATGACACAAAGAGGAAAACAAAACGAAAGAAAAAGGAGAAAAGATGTCGTATTACAATCGAAAAATATGCTATAATAAATGCTACATGAGGATAGCTGTATGTTATTCATTATTGCAGTTGATCTGTTTTAATTGTTGTTGAAATATGAAAATCACGCTTATCGTGTGCGTAAAAGAATGAGGAGAAGGAAAAAGAAGAAAAGAGAAAGTAAGAGAAATTTGATACAAATAACAGAAAGAACAAATGATAAATAAGAAAAGCAGCCTTTTTAATTATATATACATATATGTATGTATGCACCGAGTTCAAGCTGATTGTATTTAAACTTAGTCAACTACTCAGATCGATGTCTGCTTTTTAAGGTTGACCGAAACCGAGACTGAAAGATTTTTCTTTGCGATTTAATTAGGACATTGTATGTATGTGTGTGCGTGTTTTCTGTATACTACTTTTGTTTCCTCAATTGCTGTATGGAACGCGACAAGTTAACATTTGTCACTCGAGCAAATGTTGAGAAAATGTTGAAAAATCGAGAAGAAAACTTGTAATACATACACGATCCATTATGTATACCAAACGCTAATACCAATATCCGTATTTACATATATCGTATATACATATATATGTATGTTGTGGAGCTAAGCCGAATTTTAATATTCCAAGCAATAGCGCTTTATATGCAGCAGAGGAACACATTACATAATTGACAGGATATTAAATTAGAAACCGTTAGCAGATATGTTCAGAAAAGATCAATATATTATATGCATTCTTGTTAGATACCGTTTGTTGTTGATAAGCCGTGTGGGGTATAAAGCGTTTAAGCAGTCGTTATATTCATATTGAGTAATGCTTGTTTACGAATAAACATTGCATACGAAAACTTGTAACGTTATTCACATACGCGACTTCTTAGTAACGATGCATGAAATAATTAGAGGGAAAATGTAAATTTTATTTTATTAGACTACAAGTTTGTATTTTAGAAGCTATGGATTTGGTCTAATCTCGTTCTAAACGTTTCGCACATGGTACATACACTAAAATTAATATCTTAATTTATGCCCATACTAGTATAGATAAAGTTCATTCGGAAATCTAAAAAATTGTTAATGATAATTTATGTTCTTAAAAGTATTGCGATTTTACTAAATTTGTTTAATAGAAATAACAATATTGAGATAGTAAATTAAGGTTGTAATTGCTCGCTGTTACATACAATAAAGTATGCAATGAGTAAAAAAAATATTTGTTCAACTCATTTCTCTTGGGATAATTTTGCGAAAAAAAAGAAACATATTGCTACAATGTGCATTGTTCAATGCGTTAGTACAAATAAAAACAGTGTATTCTAATAGACACTTTGCAATGATATTTTTCTGCTTCGTAAAAAATTATTCCAAATAAAATGGAGTTTGCAAATATTATTTTTTACTCACTGCATATGTATAATGATATGGAGAATATACCGATATTACAAATATCTACCGAATACAATGAATAGAAGGAAATTTTACTGGATCATAAGTTGAGTACCAATAATTTTATGTGTTGTATGTATCAATCGATACATAAACTTACATACACATATAATTAAACGTTCATTGATTTTGATATCGCTGGCATGAAATACCATGATAATTTTTCAATATTTATAAATCAGTAATTTAATTATCAAGCATTGAATGAAACATTTATATTAATTCTTGTAATTGAAATTATTATTATTATCAATAAAACAAAGTTTAATTTTATTCAACAAACAATTACACGCGAAAATCACGAATATAAAATATATAATTAGTTAAGGATAATGTTATTGATAAATTTACAGACTCCTAAGAGATTGTTGTAAACATCCGTATTTGTTCGTATGTTTATTCTCTACTGGCTAAATATATTCTAGTTTGCAATTATTCAGGTACGGAGAAAATATTCATCGAAAGTGTACACGGTAAAACGTTGAAAAAGAAATCTTAAAAGATGGACATCTAGAAAGAGATAAGAGAGAGAGAGAGATAGCTCATATGTGTAGTTAAGGATAAGCGTTTCCTCTGCTAGTTTGTCGAGGATATAGCCAATCCATGAGAGTGCATACGCAGCTACACTAAATATTAAAAGATTTATATTTAATCTATATTTAGATTAAGCTTTAAATATTAAGATATTTTTTGTTATATAGGTAAACTGACACACACGTACATTTTAAAGCAGATTCTAGCGTTATTTAGGCATTTTGCAATACAAGCTTGTTGTTGTTGGTCAAAATAATTATATAATCTAGATACATCTAGATTTATTATAATTACCATCATCATCGATTGATAAATCTTTAACAAGTTATTATTGGGCGTCATATGTGATTAATGCTACCCGTGTCATCATCGGTTTCTTTATCAAATGTATCCTGTCATAAAATTAACCTCGTAATAAGTATAAGCGATAATTTAAGGGGTAAAATGTCGTTGCAAAATTATAGAGCAGAACTGCTTATCTTTATATTCCTTTGTGTTTTTATTTTTATATTTGCATTACAGAGACTACATATTTGAATTATCTTCTTTTATTATTTTCCTCATATAACTAGCTACGTTTTGATAAATGCTTTTATTAATTAAGCTCTATGTGAATTTTAATTACAGTTTGCAAAGTTTTTTTGCAGCTTTGGTCACTTGTAACCTTCGATAAAATTATATTTTTTTAAAATTAAATGATCAAATTGTACTTCTATTTCTGAAGAAATAAAAAAATTATAAAAATTGTTATTTTGTAAGATAAAGGTACATAAAAAGAAAGAAGACATAATTTTACAGAAGAAAGTTTGAGCTATTTTACGTTCTAGCTTTCTATTTCTTGCGTTCATTTATCCGCTTTATCTTCGTTTATTTCAAATCGAGACTACAAGTTAAGAATGCTTTGTGACAAATAAAATAAAAATTTAAAATAATTTTATCAGGTTCTTCTTGAATATTTACTACCATTTACACCCTAAGACCATATATTGTATATTCAATCTTTTTTAAGTTATTGTATCAAATACACTTTATATTTTATATTTGAAAAAATTGGCATTTATTAAAATAATTATATAGAATGCTGAAAAAGTCTTCCTTTAAATATAAACTGACAAAATTTTATACGTATGGTTTTGTTTCTAACACTTATTCGAATTCTCGTTCGAATCATTTGACTAAATAAAAAAAAACACAGAACAGATGCTTTATTTTGCACAAGTAGCAAATAAATAAAAATGTAAGACACCTCACCATTTCTCCGCCGTTGCCCGATGCCGCCTAAGCCGCCTCCTCCTCTCAAGATTTCCTTGTGGAACTCGCACAACACTCACACGCAAAAATCATCGATCGCGCGAAATTTCGGACACTCCCGTACGCGATGTGAAATACCGCGAAACGCACGAAATATTATTAACGAATATCGCGTGACTTTCTGTCATACACATTACTCAAACTAACAACTTGCATTTTCGGTTCGGAAGAATAGGATAATGGATAAAACACTTTTGAATTGGCGATATAAAAGGCGACACAAAAGTATCGGAAGCATAATCTGCGGTAAAGAAGTAGTTATTAGTCCGTAACGAAACGATATTTTACAATCTTTGTCATTTAATCTAATCCTTGAAACGAAATCGATAGATAATTAAAAGTGCGGTGCGTAAACGAAATGTAACCGCGACAAAATACCACGGTTTTCCTTTATAATTTAGATGAGTTAGTCTCGTGAAATATCTATACGTTGATAAAGAGCCGTCGCCTCAACATGCAATTCGTTTCTCATTACAAGTTGTAGAAACTTAATAATTAATCGAGGAACGTTAATTGTTACTAATAAAGGTGTGCAAATCAATAGTGTTTTATCCCTGCATTCATCGTGATCGAGCTTGGAAACCGATAACGCAAAAGTAATGCTAAGCACGGAGCGACTCTCGCCACTGCTTGCCGGCACGACGTTCGGCGAGCGAGTGATAGCCCGTACACAATGGCACGCAAACGTCATGCGTCACCGCGCTGAGAGAAAAACTACGAACGTTGAGAATTCGAGCGACGCAAAAACACAAATAGATTGTTTTTGTCTGACGTGTTTACGGCGCTACGTCATTTCTTGGAATCCGCGCTCGGTTTTCGGCAAAGGTGTTTACGGCGCCGTACGCAGGATCATTCACGCGACGACAGTCGAATTGAACGATTATGCCCGCGCCGCTTCGCATATACGTATTGTTCTTTCTTGACGCGTTCGCGACAAGTGCGGGAAGAGACCGCGATCGCTCTCTGTGAATAATCAATGATCGATATCATCGTGCGATCGTTGAATTCCCGCGATTTGTGTCAGTGATTTGTGCGGGTGTCAGTGCGACTATGTAATCGAACAGTTCGTAGTGGCACTCGAACTCAGTGACAATCGGACTCTGTGACAATCGGACACAGTGAGAGCCGAAAAAGTGGCATCTGGATACAGTGAGAGTGACTTTACAAACGGAAGTTTCTTAATACGCGTTCGCGACAAGTGCGGGAAGAGACCGCGATCGCTCTCTGTGAATAATCAATGATCGATATCATCGTGCGATCGTTGAATTCCCGCGATT